TGGGCTAGACCAAGATGCTGTTGGGCTCAGCTCCGTGTCCTCAGATGGGAGTGGGGCCATGGGATGAGGTGTGAATGAGTGCACCGGGAGCTGCTGCCGTCTGCCGGCACCTGGGGGTGGGCAGGATCCGTGTGACTGGGCCCACTCCCCTGCAGTAAAGCCCTGCGGATGGGCGAGTGCTACCAGGGTCAGGGTGTGCAGCCGGTGCAGCGAGGGAGGAAGCTTTCCCAGCTCTCAGCTTTCACCACCTCTGTGGCGGCACCTCAAGTGGGACTGTTTTCAGTGGGTTGTTCCAGCTCTCCTCTATCGCAGCCACAAACAGCCGGGAGCGAAACCAGAGAGTGAAACTGAGACCAGCCCTTGGGCCAGCAGCTCCCATACCCTGTAGGGGAACTGGCTTTGCCTGGGAGGGCATGTCTAAGGGGGCATGGGCGAGCGCCCTGCCTGCCCTGCCCTCTCCCTGGGGCATGCGGAGCAGAGGTGTCGTGTTTCCAGGCCAGGCCCTGCTGGCGCTGTCTGTAAACCAGCGGGGAGATGAATATGCAAGGTGCAGTCGTGCTGGTTAAGCTCCCAGCTGGTGGATGGAGGGGGAGGAACTCTCCTCTTGCCAGGGAGCTCCGCTGTCATCTGTCACGGGAGACTGTCCTGGGCCTGCTCCTGCTTCTCCCCTTTCTTCCTTCTTAGGGCGTTACTCACTCTGGTTCCCGCCCTCTCACATGGGGCACTGTTTGACTGAAATAGCTGCCGCCCGAACCATGGGGCAAGCTTCCCCAGTTGACCCTGGAGGCTCAGTTTTGTGGGTCGGGGTGTCACCCTCGGCTCTGCCTCTGGGTGTTGTTAGTGCTGGCGGCTCCTCTGGGCCGGTGTTGCTGTAGTGGGAGCCATGAGCATGACAATTGCTTTCCAGGTTTTTAATGTGTGCCACATATGGAAGACCCACGGTTGTATCTTGGGAGCTCTGACAAGCCCATGCTTTTGGCAGTAAGTGTTGTAACAGCTGTGATGAGGTAGGTTTCCACACCGAGTGCTGCGTGGGGCTTCCCATAAACGCTACAGTGAAGGTTGTGTGAGGGCACTGGCCCTAGGAGGGCCTGGTGTTGGGGCAGAGAGCGGATCCTGATGCTTTTGGGCCTTCTCCACCCAATCCTCCTGCCACACTCCCTTTCTCCTCTCTTTAGGCCACTAGTTCCTTGCCAGAGAGTTTGACCACAGAGAGTCGCCAAGATAGCTGGGCCAGGAAGAAAACGTCGCACCCCTGACCCAGACTCCATTACCGACCCCGGCGGGCCGTTTGTATCCTCCAAACGGCTGAAAATGTCCAGCAGCACCAATGCCCCTGGTCAGAGGAGAGTGTCTCGGGGCTTGGACGATGCCACCAACAAGAAGAAGCAGAAGGATCGAGCCAACCAGGAGAGCAAGGAAGGTGAGAGCCCCTCAGCAGTGCTATGGCGAGCAGGCCTGTGGTGTGGGAGCCTCGCAGCCATCTGCTGCAGGATAAGCAGATTTAACTAATCGCTTCCTGCAGCTGATGGTAACCCGTGTGATGTGGGATCCTCTTTGGCACAGTGTCCTCCCTAGACCTGTAACCTCCTTCCTTTGGGTGCTGCTTAGCCCCAGCTATGTGAGGAAGGTCGGACCTGTGGCTTTGATCCTAAGCCTGGAGTTGGCCTTGGTGGTTGTTTCTAGACTCTGCTTTCGGCTGGGGCTGAGCTGTCCCGAGCCAGTGGGACTGAAGCCTGCGGGTGCTCTTGCAGCTGGAGGCGGTGCTGCTTTCCCATCGGTTTGCAGGGGCGACTGGGTGCTGACAGCACCCGCTGATTGCAGGGCCCACAGGTGGGGGCTTTAGCTTTAGCTTCTGTGTCAAGGCATGGTGTGGCTCACGTGGAATAGTTGCTGTGAAGTAATTCCCTCTGTAGCTGCTGTGCATCCAATTATGAAAATGATGCTTCAGGTGCAGGCTCCGGTGTAGAACAAGGAATACCTGTGGGCACAACGCAGGCAAGAATTCCTGCGGCCTTGGAAAATTGCTTGATTTCTGTACCTGCTCCATTATGACTGTTGTAATCTCAAAATCACAGGGTGTTTTATAGGGCAAGGTAAATGAGCGCTTGCTGAGGTCTGTGCTCAAACGGCTGTCTGCAGTCCCTGATGCGACACCCCACGGTGCAGAGAGCTGCGCCTTCTCTCATGTGGGAGGTGTGCCATGTCTCTCCAGTAAGGCCTGACCCTCTGCACCTTCTGACACAGGGGGCTCCTGCCTTCCTGGGGGCTGCAGTGTGGCCATGCTGCCTCCGTCCCCTCTGTACAGGGGTGGTGAGGGGCTGGAGGAGGCTGTAGGTCCTCCAGGCAGTGCTGCTGCAGTGCTTCTCACACTGCCAGTCCCACCAGCACCTTTGCATCACTGACTGCAGTGGTCAGCAGAGGTTTCTAACTGGTTTGTAGCTGGTAAAGGGAGGCCAGTGACAGCCCTCTGAGCGCTCCGGGGTGAAGACCACAGTTCCCATTGCAACTGGTTGTCTGCTTCAGGACAAGGTGCTGTTGCTTTGAGCCCCTTGCCTGGCAGAGCTCACTGCCCTGTGGGGCTGGAGCAGGCCCTGAGACACTTCTGGCCGTTGGAGGTAATCCTGTAGGGAGCAGGGATTAGGTGTCAGGTCAGTTTGGTTCCTCAGCCTGATCTGAAAGGAGGTTTTGGCCATGGACATTGGCAGCTTGTGCAGGAATGGGAATGTTAAAGTGCAGCAGGGCCGCGTGGTTCTCTCGTTACAGCAGAATTGGTTTGAGCATGCACAAACATCAGGTTCTCCCTGTCAGATCAAGGCAGGACCCCTCTGTATGGCTGGAGGCTGAGGGCCTGGTGCGCTGAGCAGGAGCACGCAGCCCAATTATCACAAGCTCCACACAGAGATATGCCTCAAAGCAGCGCTGTCTGCGTGGTGCAGTAATGGTGTCTTGCTCCCGCTGTCGTGCTGGTTAGACTGGGATATGGTGCTGTGGCCCAGAGCAGCTGTCCTGGGGGCCAACTTGCTGTGGTGATGCAGGCAGGGCTCCGGAGAAGGGAGAGGTGTGAGGAAGCAGAGGAGGGAAATGAACATCACATGCAGGATGAAAGGCCTGGACAGAGGTTCAGGGGAGAAGGAGGTAATGTGTGAAATTTGGGGCATCAACGTGCCAGCCCGTGCTCTGAGGTGACAGAATGACAGACCTGCCCACACTCTGCTTCTCTGCCCACCAGTGTCTCACCCTGAGCTCGAGCAGGCTGAGACTGCCCAGGAGAAGGACTCGGAGGAGGGTAAGTTGAGGTGTGTGCCAGCTGTCAGTGCATGGCCATGGAGTGCCCTTGCCGAGGGATCCAAAACTCTCACTTTGTCATTGTCCCAGGCATTGAGCAGAACTAACCTGAGCACTCCTTGCCACAGCATTTGTCTTGACAGGATGCGGCCTTCCCAGGGTCGGAGAAGGGTGCACATGGCTGGGAAGGGCCGCCTGCCAGGAAGAGGCCCTGGGCATGTGTCAGGCTGCTTTCAGCTTGGGTGTCACGGTGCCACTGAGCACAGCCCTGGGACACCTTGTTGCCGGTATCTGTCCTGCTTGTTTCTGAGCAGGGAGCCATGCTGGGCTGGGAAGATCCCAAGCCATGTCACCCTGTGGGTACTATTGACTGGTTTCTGCCTTGGTCCGGGCCTGCTTTGAGGGCAGAGTAGGTCATCCTCATGCCACAGAGGGTGGAAAAAATCTCATTGAAACTACGGTCATTGGAATCACCTTTTTGCCTTGAAGACTTCAGGACACCACAGGGCCAGGCCTGGAGCCTGGCAGGGACTTGAGGGAGGTTCTGCCTGCAGCGGAGTGATGCGCTGCACTCTTTTCTCCTTATGTGCAGTGTTCTTGCCTGGCTGGTGGGTCTGCCTGTGTTTCAGCCATGTTAGCAGTGCTCACCTGGCAGGAGTACAGTGCTTTGGTGACTGCAGTTGGGCTGCTTGGTTTGCATATGCAAAGGGGAAGTGGCAATTTCTGATTGTGGTCAGAGTCCATCTGAATTCCCCAGAGTAATTCTGTGGTTTCCTTGTTCCCTGGGAAAGCAGCAATTGCTTTGTAGTTGGCAGGAGCAACTCCTTCTTCCCAGCCACCGCTGCTGCACGTGATGGGGCCAAGAGCAGTGCTGCCTTTCTGATCTCTCTGGTTCCCACCGGGATTCACCTGCCCTGCTTTAACATGTGCTCTTGTTTGTGGCCTATCTGATGAGAGCAGGTTGCAAGCATCCTGTTTAATTGGCATGATGTGTGTCCCCCATGTTGACCTCCCTAAACCAAGTGTGTGTTCAGGCTCGCATTCTCCAGCCAAGGAACAGGCACTGCAGGCTCATGCCCCAGCGAGTGGGTGACACTTCCCTCCTTCTTCCTAGAGCTGCTGCTGGACTGGAAGCAGAATGCTGATGAGATCATCGTCAAGCTGAACTTAGGTAGCGGAGCTCTGAAGGTGGAGGATGTGGATGCTGCTTTCACCGACACGGACTGTGTGGTCAAACTACCAGGTATGGGGAACTGAGCAACTGCTGCGGGCATTTCTCCAGCAGGGCTTGGCGCAGCTCTGGGCTAGACATGGGGCTGATCCAGGCAGGCATAAAACCTTTCCTTCAGAGGCAATGCCCTGCTGTCAGCTGGCTCAGCTTCAGCCAGCAGGCAGGGCCGATATGGGAGCAGTGTAAAAGAAGAAGGGTGTCAAGCTGGGGAGGGCAGGAGCTGGCTTCTGTGCCAAGTGAACAAGTGCCCACTGCTATGCTGGTGCATTTCTGTCCCCTGCTCACTGGGATGACTGAGTCGGCCCTGGGTATCCGTTGGAAAAGTGACTGTGCCCCTGAGGGCAGAGAGGCCCAGGGCCTTTCCTTTGGGAAGGAGGCCAGCCAGATGTACAAAGCAAATCCAGGGAAGCTGGCATTACCTTGAAGGCTCCTGGGGTGTGGTGGCAGCCTGCCTGCAGCCTCCTTGGCTCTGGATGAGTGCTCCCTTGATCCTTGGGGCAGGTGAAAGGGGGCTGTGGGTGAGGTGACAGGCAATGCTCCAGGCAGCTGAGGTCCCAGTCCCCCTCTACTTGCAGATGGGCGCCAGTGGAGCTGTCAGTTCTATGAGGAGATTGAGAGCTCCTGCAGCAAGGTCCAGTGCAAGAAAGGCAACTTTCTACAGCTTGTGCTTCAGAAGAAGATCCCACTGCATACCTGGTCTTCACTTCTGGTGAGGAGGGGAGGATCTGCCTTTTGAGGGAGCTTATGGAGCACAGGGGAGCTGGGGTGAGGGTTTCGCTCCCTGCTCTTGAACTGCCCAGGGAGCAATGTGGGGCACATCCTGCATCCACACGCTGTCTGAGGGCAGTGAGCCAGCTGCCTCTGTCCCAGGGAGGGGGAGTGTCATTGTACCTCTGTTCCTGCCTGCCCCATAGCCTCCAGCTATTGGAGCAGAGCCCTAGCATGTTCTGGAAAGGGGCAATGAGGGTGAGAGGCTGGCAAAGAGCTTGAGGGGTGCTACTGCCTGGAAACCTTCCCACTGTGCTGCACTGCTTTTCACAGAAGAGAAGGAAAGATGGATCCAAAGAGCTGGCCAAAGGGGCCACGTGCTGGGAGAACGGGAAGGAGAAGGCTGCTTCTGCAGAGCTGGCCCCTGAAGAGCCAAGGGCTGAAGGCGCAGAGCTGCCAAGGTCCCGGCGGGAACCCTCCAACCCCAAGCGCGCTCCAGGAAGAAGCGAGGCCCTGGGAGGGAAAAGCCCAGCCAGCCCAGGGACACAGAGTGGCCCCAGCGCCAAGCGGGCAGTATACCTCAAAGTCGCTCCCACCGAAGAGGAGCCAAATGCCAGAGTCACTGGGTGCGTGGAGCCCAGCAAAGGGCACAGTGGGAGGGCAGGCAGCCGCCGCAATGGCAGAGCCAGCCAGGTTGATGCGTCCACGGCTCTTGCGGACCTCGCACCGCCACTGGAGAAGGTACCTGAGGACCCAGCCAAACGGGGCACCCCTGCTCCCTCAGCCTCCATGCAGGGGATGCTCACACAGGGACTCATCTTTGCTGATGAGATGGGCTCCAGGGTTCTGTGGGTGGTGCTGAGGGCTGGCGTGGGCCTGGCTGTGGTGGAGGGGAGGGTGATGTGAGGACCCCAGAGTTGCTGGGCTGTGGTGCTAATGAGGCCGAGCCAAGCATGGGATGTGTGGGGGAAGTGGGTGGTGTGGGGCTGTGCCTGCCTGCCTGGCAGAAGTTGCAGTGGGTGGGCCAGGGTAGCTTGAGGGTGATGATGTCTGTTTTTCACTGTGTCCCTCTGCCTTGAAAGGCTGTGGTTTTGGCCAAGGAAGCAGTTCCCATGGAGATGCCACCTCTCGCGGCTACCACAGAGGTGTTCCCCCACCGCATTGCTACCTGTGTGGAGAAGAGGGTCCTGCAGCCAGGCAGCCCTGCTGAAGCCTTGCGGGGCCGGGACTGCACACCTGTCCTGGGAGAGAGCTCTAAGGCTGTCCCAGTGGCCACCCCTCCTCTGGGCAGGGACGGTGAGAAGAGGGACTGGTCCAAGGATGACGTGGCTCTGGAAGCAGCAGCTGATGGTGAGTGGCTGGAGCCCAGGGGTCAGCCTGGCTGGGAAGATCCATCTGCTCAGGACCTCTCCTGGGTCAGCCTGCAGCGCTGCTTTGGCATGTGAAGAAGGTAATGTCTCTCTCCATGGCTTTCCTCGCTCAGAGCCAGAGCCTTTCGTGAGCCTAACCTTTGTCAAGAATGACTCATACGAGAAGGGCAATGACCTGGTGGTGGTGCACGTCTACGTGAAGGAGATCCACAAAGAGACGTCCAAGGTGTTGTTCCGGGAGCAAGACTTCACACTGGTGTTCCAGACAAGGTACAGGCATGCCTCGGGAGGGTGCCAGGCTGCTGCGGAGCTCCTGGCTGTGGCCGGACTACTTGTTTGTTCACTTTTTCTCACTCGCTCCCAATTTCTTTGCAGTGATACAAACTTCCTTCGCCTCCATCCTGGCTGTGGGCCCCACACAGTGTTCCGGTGGCAGGTGAAGCTCAGGTACGGCTCCTGTCCTTCCAGCCTGCACTGTGGCAAGGGAGCTGAGAGTGCAGAGCTGGAGCAGGAGCTGGTCCCAGCTGGTGGGTCTGTGCAGGGCATACTCATTTCTGCACCTGGGGGTCTCCCTGACACCATGCTGCACTAATGCCCCAAGCCCAGACTGCCTCGTCTCAGTCTGGTGGCTCGCAAGGGGGGAAATCCCAGTGTCTCCTTGCCTACGGTCTTCCCCAAGCTGTTCTAGAGCTCTTGGGGACAGAGCCAGACCTGTGTGTGCTTTGGGTGGGATGTCCCACGGGAGGGGGCATGTGGAGCCAAGCAGAATGGACCTGCCAGGAACGGGGCCCTGTGTGCTCGGTGTGGCCAGGCTTGAGGGTTTCCACCCTGCTTTTCCAGGGGCCACCTCAGGATCGGTGCTAGCCCAGTCCCTACTGCCTGGAGGCCATGGCCCTGCCTTGCAGAAGCTTTGGTGTACCTGAGGTTGCTGGGGGGTCTGGGGCACCCCTGACTTGCTGCGTATCTTGCAGGAACCTTATTGAGCCAGACCAGTGCACATACAACTTCACGGTGTCTCGCATCGACGTCTGCCTGAAGAAACGCCAGAGCCAGCGCTGGGGAGGGCTGGAGGCTCCAGCCACACGAGGTCTGCACCCTGCCTTCTTGTCTCACCTGCCTGCTGCACCCCAGTGGGGCCTGAGCTCTCCTCACAGCCAGCAGCAGCCAGATGGTGCCAGATCCTTAGGCGTGGGGTTGTGGGGAAGGAGAAGGGGCTGAGCGGGTGCAGGCAGGAGGGGTATGGGGCAGGGTGAGCCAAGCGTAAGTGTAAGGGCACTGCTGTTCCCCTTGCTCATGGGGAGGAGGGGCAGGAGGGAGCCTGTGTGTGAGCATGGACTGAGCGGCTCGGCCCTGCTGTGGGCAGCTCGTGGTGCTGCTAACCACCGGCCCACCCTTCCCCCTTTTTAAGGTGCAGTGGGTGGTGCAAAGGTTGCCATGCCTACAGGCCCTACCCCTCTGGACAAGAACCCCCCAGGCAGTAACCAGCACCCACTGTCCAGCAAGGAGGAGGCTCGAGCCAGTGACAAAGAGAAGCCACGTGTGGAAGATGGGGGACTGGATGGTGTGGCAGCCCGTACAGCCCCAGAGCACGTGGCAGTGAAGCAAGAGCCACACATCCCCTCAGTGAGTGGGGCCGCACCGGGTTTGACCTGGGCGGGGGGGAAAGAGGGATCCACTTGTCCCTCTTGTGGGACTCCACCTCCTTGGTGGTCTTTTGGGGACCGGCAAACTGTTCCTGGAGGAGCAGGCAGGGCTCCTCAGTCATAGCTGGCAGGACCGGGGGCAGCGGTTGGCGTGTGTGGTGGGAGATGGTGTGGTGG